CGGCTCGCCGTAAAAATAGCCACTGCGAAAATTATATTCATTCGGACTTTGAATTGAGTCCAGTATGATGTCCGTTCCGACTTCCGACCCTTGTTTCTAAATATTTCTAGCATTTATTAACATGTTCTTTCGATTATAAAATAACAATTGAGATGTGAGCTTTCATATCCAGTTACTAGATCAATCTAAACTGGCCCTTCCTGTGTCATTAGTATGAACAAAACTAATTTGAGCTGACCTTGCCGGGGGCAACGTTAATTTTGTCGATAAATGAGACTGCGCGTAGCGTCACACTGTCGGCTTATATGGGGGAAGAGGCCATGGATGTCGGTTTTGTGCGATGTGATTTTAAAAATTACAGAAAAACTCAACACTCAACAAAATCAGATTAAAAATGTGGAAAGACAAATGGTGATGGAAGTGATGATGATGCTGTAGTGGTGGTGGAAAGAACTTGAGTTGTCGGTTACTTTTAACTTAAGTTCAACACACAACTCTTCTTGGAGGCAAAACAACAGGTTACAGGACGATCAAATTGAAAGACTGATGTGCTCAGTAAACCAATTTTTTAAAAAAATTTAACGTCATCATCATAGTTTATCGACAGAATGTGCAGTAAGTATATATTTCACGGATCGACAGAATGCGCAACAATCGATGGATTATCGCACCTTTCCTCGATCAACCAAATGCGCTGCGCGATTGATGGATCGTGCAAATCGACAGATCGCGCCCAACATATGCGAACCAAGCATTTTCCCGTTCCGTTCGGGTCCTGCGTCATGCAGCTCAAATGTGTGTATGTCAGTCTTCTTGAGTTTGTGTGCGTTGATGGCCTACTTCTACAACCGTCTGCATTGGTTTGTTACCGAGGCTTACACGTCTCATTCGAAACATGCCAAGTTGGTAGCTCCAAATGTTAGTCCATGAAATTAGAACAAATTGACCCACTTAAATATGAGGAGCTCGAAAGGATAGTCGGGAAACAAGACTTTCATTTTCCTATTAAAAAATGGAGGAGTTCCGCAGAAGGGGCACTTACCATGACAAAGTCCACTGATCAATTCTACAAGAGTTGGGGCACTTAGAGAAGCCAATTGATGACTTACATTTTGGCATAGGGGTTGGGCGAGATGCTTTTTTTAGAGCAAAGCACATTTGACAGCTCCAGAGCAGTTCAGAAAAAATTAGTGTCGTGTGGAAGCCGCCATTACCTTCTTCTGTTGACTTAAATTGAGAATCGGACTTACATTTTTGCCAGGTTTTTGCAATCAATGCGATGGGTAACCGGTAACATGGTGTTTCAGGTGCCCACTGTCTACAGATGGGATCGGCGGGTCAGGCCGGCTGCCCGAAACGGTCGCCTCAAAAACAGTGTTTGTTTTCAGCTCCAGGCACCGAGTCGGGAGATCGGCCCGATCTAGCCGTAAAGGGTACCCCGTATACGCCTAGTATTTAAGAATTGTTCGGGCGAGGGTTAGGGTGTTTTGTTAGTCGAGAGGGAGGGTACAACCATATTTTTCTACGCTTTTTACTGCTATAGCACTCGCCTAGTTTTAAGCGTTTGTTGCAATGTAAACAGAGGGAGGACTTCCGTAACGAGCGACCACTATGAGACAGAGTAGGGGTAAGGTTGGGTAGAGGTGTGGGGTTGGGTTAGGTTAAGGTCAGATCTAGGTCTCTTCTTTATTGTGTTTGTTGGAGTGGTCGCTCGTTATGGAAGTCCTTCCTAAACAAATATCATGCATGTCCCTGACTGGGTTTGTTAAGAAAAAGTTGGTGAGCCTGGTAAAGTTATGTACAGTGGGTGCCACATTCAACAAGAAGTCGGCTCCAATGAGGCAATCCTTAATCCCTGATTTTTTCCTCTATCTCTTTGTAAATGTACGTGGGTTCCAACGAGGTTGCAAACAGACCAAAGCCACTTTCAACGAGGTCGCGATGACCAAATAAAAGCAGTGAGCGGCCCCAAAAGCGAAGAATTTTTCTCCTTTCTCTCCATCTCACGCGAAGCACAAGGTCCATCATCAATTCTTAACACATTGTATTGCTAGATCTAGTATGCCTCCTAATATGGGCCCCAGAGCCAAGAGGATGGGCGAGGCTTAGCCTACTGTTGGGACGGGAGGGGGTGGGTGGGAATGCGATGCAGGCTGTGTGAAACTGGATGAACTTTGGATGGGTAGGTCTAGATCAAGACCTTCGGTTTTTTTTCAATTTTCTTTTCTTCCCCTGAAGAAAATCCAAGCTTGCGCCTTTACTTTATGTAGATATCTAGGCCTAGATGTGAGAGGGTATGTTTCCACACGAGAAGTGTCGGGGGAAAAAATATTTTAAAATGCAGAAATGACAGTCAGAACGCAGCTCAAACACGCGCACACTGATGGTGTGTGAGATTTTCGTCATCAGGGGGAACAACTGTTTTAATTACTGGTATTGGTACATCCTATGAAATAATTAACTTGTCTCCTTTCTTTACTTTAGCCTTAGTCACGTTCAACGAGAGGTCGGATCCAACGAGGACAACAAGCCGGTCCCGGCAACGTCGTTGGATGCGACACCCACTGTATTTAAATGACATGGTACTTGTCCAGTTGTCAGGTTTTTAAGTTTTTCTTTCTTACCGCTTGCCTTGTGTAGTTTTGTTTGTTCTGTGCGTCAGACTAGAATTTGTTTTCCATCACACATTGTTTGGGGTTCAGTCTGTATAAATTTCTTACATGCAGCTTGATTTTAAGAATTCATTAATTGTTTTTCATCTATATTCCAGATCGCCATGTCTGATGTAAAAGATGAGAAGGAACAGGAAGAGAAGGAGTTTGGAGGGATTGAAGGACCCAACTCTCAATATGTGAAGCTGATGTCCTCTGATGGCCTCGAGTTTATTGTGAAGCGCGACCATGCTTTGACATCCGGCACTATCAAGGCTATGTTGAGCGGTCCTGGTAGGTTTTTATTTTGAATCTTTTTTCAATGAATGTTTGTTTTTAAGAAAGATGTTAGTTTTGTTTGATATCGAGAGGTGATAAGGGATTTTTTTTTTTTAGTTGGTAAATTAGACCTGCATGTTTGCCGACAATCGTCTGAAATCCGACAATCACGACCCGACCCGCGAACCGGCCGATGCTATCGCTAGGCCCGCCTGTATCAGTCAATGTGCGTAGTGCGAGGCCTGGCCGACTGCCAGCGACCCCTTTTTTCCCCGTCGGCACTTTCGTTTTCGTGCCGACCGCCGACGCGCGCACCGCCGACGTCGGCGTTTCCGACATAATTGTCGGAACCTAAGTAGAAATGCGAATACGGAAAAGGACGACAACCTAAATTATCTACTTTCAGTTTCGTGCTCGAGCGGCCATTTTGAATTTCGTTTGTTGACTAATTCAATTGTTCAGATCGTGTGGATTCATTCAAGTCCGACTCTCTTGTTCTAATAGTTTATATAGATCATTATAGACCTCAATGGAGGATTTATATTCCAATTCTATTGTGTCAAACCCTATCATAGGTTGTGCTGTAATATTAATATTGGTAAAAATAAGCATTTCATTAGGTGCGTGAATTATTTATTTATTTAGATCTAGATCTAGAATCTAGACTCAGCTGAGTCCCTCTGTTCGGAATCGGATGCGGATTTCTAGTTCAAGGCCTATTCCTATTCACTTGTTCTACAAGATCTAGATCTAGATCAAACCCTATAGCCATAGCAATGCAGATGTAAGCCATAGATCTAGATCTATGCTCCTTGTTTGTTTTGGAGTGTGGTATTTTAATTTTTTTTTTTTTTCATTTAGGACTTGTTTTGGCCTTTTTACATGAGGCCCGTTGCAGGTTCTTTTTGGGGGTAGGGTTAGGTCTCTTCTTTATTGTGTTTGTTGGGGTGGTCGCTGGTTACTCAGATGTCCTTCCTTATGACACCCACAAATGCTTTTTTGGGGGGGGGGGGGGGAGTTGCACAAAATTTTCAGACAATCTGGTTGAGGCTCACATGCAGGTCTATTTTAAGAAAGATGTTAGTTTTGTTTGATATCGAGAGGTGATAAGGGATTTTTTTTTTTTAGTTGGTAAATGTAGGAGCTGTTGGATTTAGACAAAGAATTGTCCTCTTTTTTTAAAAGATTATAATGGTACTCGTTTGGTTTTGCCAGATAACATTCATAGTGCTTAGATTTTTGTTTTCATTGATATGCATGGCTTGAGGGGGGTGGGGGGTGGGGGTGGTGTGTTGAATGCAAATATTCTGTAATTAGTCTCCAGTAGAGGACAAAGTTTGAGTTTGACACGTATGGATTTTTATTAATTTTACTTTCTCTTTAAAATAACTGAGATTTTAAACTTCATACAAGATATGCCTGTACAGTAAAGAGATACTGGTATTCTTTTTCTTCCTGTGGCTTTCACAACCCTATCACTGTCAGTGGTAAACTTGCACTTGTCAGGGTAAAGTCTTAGAAACAAGGATCATGCACCTTTAGATGTAAGAAATGAATACATATAATATAAGATGGTTACAAAGACCAGACAACTTTGGAAAGCTCTTTGAAAAACTATAAAATATGCTTGAAAAAAAGTTACGATTTCAACTTTTCTCCCCTAAAATCTCCCAGAAATCTGGGAAACTGCTGAGGACCCGACGAAGCCATTTTCATTGAATTGCAGTGGCGACCACCCGTTGGTTGTTTTAAGTTAAATTAATATAAATAACTGACAATCTTTTGTGTCCCTCAGGCTCAAAAATTCATATAACTACAGGAGGTCCTTCATTTTTTAATTTGTACACTTTCAATCAGGGTCTGTGTTTCTGGTGTTCGCGAAGACCGTCTCCGGAAACTGCCGAGGACCGGACGGAGCCGTTTCCGCTGACTCACAGAGTCGCGGCTGCCGGCCGTTCTGAAATAAAGGGATCTTTTTCATTGCTCTAGCTCAAAAAGAGTTCTAATAACTACAGGAGGTCCTTCTTTTTCAAATGAGTGCACGTTTGTTCAGCATCTACATTTTCAGGGTTCGTGTAGACCATTTTCAGAAACTGCTGATACAATCGACAGTAACAGTCTGGTGGCAAAGAAAGTGCCGATCTCATCGGTGCTTGCCAATAATAGGGTTAACAGAGCACCAAAATTGTACCTTTCATCAGAAAACTCTACAATTTTTGTTTTCACCATGTGAAATCGACTTGAAATTATAATTAAAGATGCACAGTGTGGCAGTTATTGAAATGTTTTCTCAAATTATTCCTCATTGTGTGAGGGAAGAGTGTGTGTATATGGGTGTGCACATGCACATGTGTGTGCATGTTTGTGTGTGTGTGTGTATGTATGTACATGGTGAAACACCAAACCAATGTGCGAGGATTTTGACAATAAAGATGTATCTTATTTTGTCTATTGCTGCGTGAAAGCAGAAGGGACAATTGAACTAGATTTTGCTATTTTTGATGCCATGTTTCTCCTGCTATGATATTCTTTTCACGTTCTTTTTCAGGTCAATTTTCAGAGAACGAGAACAATGAAATCAATTTCAGGGAGATACCGTAAGTCACTGGATTTTTTAAATACTAGGCCAAGTACAATGGTTATTTTGTTTTTGTTTCAGTAAAAGTTTAACAGGACTTGGTATTGTAACACAAATAAGTCATAAGTGCTGAAGACTAGAGGTGTTACTAAATACAGTCCACTCCACTTGTAGCGAAGTCTTGTTTTAGAGATCTTTGGACGTAGCGGTCTTTTTCTGTGAAACGGGTTGGGATGTAACACAAACTCAGTAAATTTGAAACGGTTGTACCGATTTCACTACATTGGTCATGACGGCTGTAGTTATGCATATTCTTATTTCCGGCCCATATAGTTTATTGTAAAAATATAGCGGTTTTTTTCGGTTTCCCCCGTGGTTGGTCTTGACCTGGCATTGATGAACCCAATGATGTTTTGTAACATTACGCACATTCACATAATAGTACGAGGCATCAGACACTTGGCGAGCAATCTCCCACATCATACTATTAACCTTGCTGCATGATAAGCGCTGAAGCAAACACGATACTGCCTCTCTCACTTTGCCTAGCGCCATGAGGGACAACTATGATGTGTTTGCCCTGCCTCTCTCTCACTTCGCGTAGCGATCTTTTTTCGGGTCCCCCAACGACATCGCTACAAGCGTAGTCGACTGTTAAAAGTAGCATATACAAAGAAAAGGAAGAGGACAGATAAGGACGATAGATGTAGGAAAGGAGAACACCACCACACCAGGACAACAACCAAAACCACCCATCGGTATTTTGTATTTTATGCTTAGTTTAGTGACTTCTTTGTATCATTTCACAATTTCACCTGGCATGGCTGGAATTCCGTAACGAGCGATCACTGTGAAATAGAGGTTAGGATTTGAAATGAGTGTGAGCTAGGGTTAGGTCTGTTTTATATATAGTTTGTTGGGATGGTCACCTGTTACAGAAGTCCTTCCCCTGACAAAGTTTAATAGACCTGCATGTTTGCCGACAATCGCGACCCGACCCGCGAGCCGGCCGGTGCTATCGCTAGGCCCACCTGTATTAGTCAATGTGCGAAGAGCGAGGCCTGGCCGACTGCCAGCGCCCCATTCTTCTCGCGTCGGCTTTGTCAGCACTTTCGTTCTCGTGCCGACTACCAGCGTCGGTTTATCCGACATAATTGTCGGAACCTGGGTTGAAATACGAATACGAAAAAGGATGACGACCTAAATTATCTACTTTCAGTTTCGTTTTCGAGCGGCCATTTTGAATTTCATTTGTTGACTGATTGTTCAGATCATTTGGATTCATTCAACAAGTCTGACTCACTTGTTCTACTAGATCTAGATTTATAAATCATTAAAGACCTCAATGGAGGATTCATTTTCCAATTCTATTGTGTCAGGCCCTATCGTAGGTTGTGCTGTAATATTAATGTTGGTAAAAAGCATTTCATCAGGTGCATGAAATATTTATTTAGAATCTAGATCTAGATCTAGACTCAGCTGAGTCCCTCTGTTCGGAATTGGATTCAGATTTTTCGTTCAAGGCCTTTCCTATTCACTTGTTTTACTAGATCTAGATTTATTTAGATTAGTAGATCTATATGGAGGATTCATATTCCAATTCTATTGTGTTTTTGGATCAAACCCTATTATAGCAATGTAGGCCATATTACAGTGGAGACCATATATAACAGGCCCGGTAATAACAGGGATTTTTAAAATCCCCGCTTTTTCCTACTCTTTGTCTCTATTAAAAGTTATCGGCAATAACAGGGCCTCATCGGAGCCCAACCGGTTATAGCAGGGACAAAGGCTGTTAACAATGTAAAAAGTAAGAGCGAAAGAGAGAGAGAGTAACACAGTGATGGAGCAAGCCATGCCACAGCAAGCACACGCAGCGTGTGAAGCAAGAGAGGGCTGCGGTGTGCTGCAGACCTCGATCTAGCCCGAAACCTAGCAACACACACGCGTAATGTGTCACCAATGATGTCAAGCGCAAGAGAAAATGCCTTTCAATTGACAAAAAATACGAAATAATCCAGGCTGTTGACAAAAAGCAAGCTCCACTGGCAGAGATTTGTTGTCAGTTTGACATTCCACGAGGGTCGATTCACACCATTATCAAGGGATAGAGAGAAGATAGTGGCAGCATACTCCAATGGGAAGTTTGCTCTGGATCGAAAAAAGATGAGACTACCCGATGCAGATGCTGTGGACCAAGCTCTTCTGATGTGGTTAAAAGAGGCAAGGAGAAAGTTGGTGCCAATACCTCTGTTCGTGGGTAGGCCTACTTATGGCAAGGGAAACTACCCTACCCATGAACAAGTACAGCTGGATTAGTCCACAAATGCTTACTTTCCTTGCATTTCTGATTTAACAGGGATCGGATATAACAGGACATTTTCTCTACTCCCACCATCCCTGTTATATCAGGTTTCCACTGTATGCTCTTTGTTTGTTTTGGAGTGTGTTTTGTTTTTCCTTTTCATTTTTGGACTTGTGCTGGCCTTCTTACATGAGGGCCGTTGCAGGTTCTTGGGGTTGGCCTAGGGGTAAGGTTTGGGTTAGGGTTAGGTCTCTTCTTTATTGTGTTTGTTGGAGTGGTCGCTCGTTACTCGGAAATCCTTCCTTTTATGACACACACAAAAGCTCTTATGGGGGGTGCACAAAATTTTCAGACCATCTGGTTGAGGCTCACATGCAGGTCTAGTTTAAAATAAAATGACTGAGTTGATAAATGTGAAAAATGGCCAGCGTCTGGTATTAATGAAATGAAATAGACAGTAAAGTAAGATGCTGTAGCAATGAAGCATTGTCATTGTTCATGTTCTGATTGACTTTTGGGCATGGTCTGATAGTGAGTGATTCTCGCCTTCAGCTTTGGTGAAAGAATTAATTATAAGTTTGTTTCTTTACTTTTTTTTCATTTTCCTTCCATATCATGAATTACTTGTACATGTAGGATAAGCGAAGTTTTGTGTGTATGCAAGTCGGATTTTGGTAGTGTCGATTCTTCTGTATGTTAATTTGTGAGTCAGCATGGTGAAATCAGGTGCTTGTCAAAGTAACGAAATCTGAAGGCGTTTTTCTGCCTGTGTGGAAAGTTTTATCCAATTTTCATTTTTTGGCTACCTAATTTATGTCCAAATAAAAACACACTTCCATGTGAATTTTACTGAAAAGCATTGATTAATAAAGACACAAAATATGTCATTTTTTTGTTTTCAAAGACTCTTTAGCTATTGAATTTACCAAACTTTGGTGGCCATTTTCTTGATAATTTTTCCGCTAAAACCAGGCTTCTTTCTATCCCAACTTCTATTCAAGATACAGGGGTATTTTTTCATTGAAAGCAAAGAAGATGCATAAGCTTTCAGATAATACCAAGAACTCCACCTGCCTGAAAAGTGACGAGTGCCTGGTTCCGCCGCGACACATTTTCAGGGTTTTGTTTTATATCCGTGCTGTGCAAAGTTGTGTGCGGGTTTTTTATTGTATAGTATTCTAAGTAAACTTTAAGGAAATGAAATCCCTGTTTTTTTAGGGGGGTTTTGTGGGGGTGTTTTTGTTTTCGCCTCTCATTAAATAGAGCCCGAGATCGAATCTGGATTGTGATGGAAAATTTTCTTCCTTAAAATTGTCGCCTTACTTCTCCTCTTACTGTCCCCACCCCCTCACCTCCTTTGCCCCCTCCTCTGGGCTCCTTACTCTTTCTACTGCTACTCCTTGGCTCCTTCTTACTACTGCTATCTTTCAGCAGCACCCCTGGTCTTTTTGTAGGTAAGATCTAACATCTAGCCTTTTCGGATAACGACGGAAAATCTCGGAGGTCCCCGATGATGAGGCTTCAGCCATTGCTCTAGCAAAATAAAAAATTTCCAACAAAGCTGGAAATGTTAACAGGGTTCCTGCGGCCTCCTTGAATTTTAAAGAGTCCTTGAAAACTCCTTGATTTTCTCAGGATCAAACATGAACAAAATTTTTGTAGGAAGATCGGAACTACAATTCCTTTCAGACTGGTGTTGGCCTCGGAAATAAGCTCTCGGCATGAATTTCTTGACCAAATCTCCTTGAATTTGGTGGGGATTTCATGGCAGGAACCCTGTGTTAAATTTGTCCCGCACGCTCATATAACCGTATGCTGTGCAGTTGCGAGCTCTGTAAAACAGTTACCGGAAAAAAAACGGTATACCATACACCACCAGAGGTACCAAACGACTGTATATGGAACATGAATGTGTACAGATTAAGAAATATAGATAAACATTGGTAAGCCAAGCCGTTATTCCTAATTTTTTGTTCTTTTTTTCTCCCCTAGATCTCACGTGCTGCAGAAGGTGTGCATGTATTTTACCTACAAAGTGAGATACACCAACTCCTCCACCGAGATCCCTGAGTTCCCCATCGCACCTGAGATTGCACTGGAGTTACTGATGGCCGCAAACTTTTTAGATTGCTAAGATCCAGATCTGTTTCCTCTTTTATTTTTCAATGTTTTTCAAAGTCAGATCAAGAAGATCAAAACAGTTTGCAAATTAAGTCATATCATCAGTAGGAGAATTAAGACATTGGGCTTCTTTTTTTCTTTTTTTTTAAAGTGGGCATTTCACTTCTAACAAATTTCAGTTTTTCGTGGGGTACATGGGGGGGGGGGGGGGGGGGTTAAGGATGGCATTTTTCACTACTTCTGACACATTTCGGGGGTTTTTTTTATGGTACATTTTTGTTGCATTTATCAACCATCACTGAGCTTTGGAATAGATGTCTTTTTGGTTTTACAGCTCATTTAGAAGTGCTGAGGTACACAGCACCCTCCTGGAAACAGCTGTTTTCATTCCATCGTAGCCTGCCGTATCTGGCTCAAATAGCAACAGAGATTCTTTTTGTTGGGTTTCTTTTTTTTTTTTTTTTTTTTTCGTAATTCTTGTAATTTTGTTTGCTGTGTATGAATGATGTGAGAATTTGGAGAGTGAAAAAGTGCTTGTCTTTCTTTAATAAAGTAATTTATCCATTATACATCACATCTAAGCCTTTTTTGTTATTGTTGTTTCTGTTGTTTTAAATTTCTGTACTTGGTTTTTAGAAGTTTAATTAAATAAAGCAAAAATTTGCTGTTGGTTGAAAAAAAAATGGCGGACAAATGCTGAGAATACAGAGAATACTTTACACTAGATCTATGAACAGTTGTGTGAGTTACAGTCGTACCAGCTTTTCCAAACCCAGTCCGGTATACTCGATGATATAACATCAGATTATGCAAAAACAATTACATTAGAATTGCATCACTTGGGATTTGTTTTGGTATAGTGTACAGTGGAATCCTGTTAATAACGAGAGGGAGGGGACCGGTGCCAAATGTCCATTATAGCAAGATTCTCGTTTAAGGGATCCAGTAATAAAATCAAGGGAAATGGTAAAGTAGGTCTAATCTACGAGTCTGGTTTTAGGTTTATTTCTTTTTGTAATCTCCCCTGATGATGATTTGGTTCAACATGACCTTTAAGTCTTACTTGATCAAAAGTCGAATCGAGTTTCTTTCTCAAACGCCAGCGATATTGACAGCTGGGCGTAGCCAATCGGAAAGAAAGTTCTCTAGGCTAACTCGCCCGCTGCGTTGTCCCCCACCCCACCACACCCTATGGAGCGTTCCGTCTGCTTGCGCACAATGGGAACATACCACACGCCGCCCACGTCATACATTCGCTCCGCCCATCACAGTACGGCACTATGACCTCTCCATCCCCGCATCGGAGAAATGAGAGACAAAGTAGGCATAGATAATCCAGACTAGGCTGGCCTATCACACGATGTGTTCTGCTTGTCTGCGTATGCCAAACCCTCCCCACTCATTCAATCCGACCTTCATTGTTGGCACACGTGGGCTCTCCCATTCTTTGTTTCCCAAGATAACCAAGTTTCTCAACTGGCAAGGTTTTACATGAATAAATGGCCTATGCGCTGTGCACAGGAGCAGCTATATTCCGGTAGGCCTATAACCGACTCACGTCAGTGTTTGTCTGATTGCGTTATAGTATTAGTATTTTATTTACAAAGATAAGGGAAAAGTTTTAGAAAAGTTACAGACTTCTCGTTATTTCAGGACTCGTTATAAGTGGATTCCACTGTATTTTAAGGCTGTCAATATCCCAATTGCCAAATCTGGGATGGTCCCAGGTTATTCGGGACAGTTGGCAAGCCTGCAGTTAGTTGTGCCAGTAATAATGAGCATGTGGATGCTGTTGAGGGGGCCCATTGCAAGTGTTGTGTTTCGCTGACAGTCTTGATATCCCCTGAAGAGTTTTTTGCTCGACAGTACAGGTGTATCTCTCCCAAACTTGTGTGACCAAAACATGGAAGACTGAGAATTCAGTAGAGTAAATAATTATTTTTTTTTTAAACTGACAGTGGACTTTCATCATCTTTCTTTCCACTTGTGAGCCGGTTTGAAGAAACCAGGAATATGTTGCTAAACTTTGAACCGAGATATGAGCAGTCAGTGTGGTCAATGCTTGTCGATTGTGAGTTATACATGTAACATACCAGGGTATTCTCCAACAATTTTAGAAAATAACTCAGTCACAGCTGTTTCTTGTAAAAACCACTTTAAAATGTTCTCATTAATTTATTTTCCATTTGCTTTCTTCAGATATTAAAAGCAGTAATGATGTAACTTTGAGCACCTTTTTCTCCGTTCTTACTCTACCACATTTTGTTACTTTAAAAAAAATGCAATACCTCATCTTCTAGAAAAGATAATTGAAAATTTTTAAGTGCATAATAATCAAAAAGATCCTAGCTTTCAGTAAAGCACAAAAACTCAAAATGGCCCAGTGGTGACATATTCCCGATTTCCTCCGACCAACTCACGATAGCATCTGTTTGTATAGACTCCATAATGTCCAAAATTGACAAGCGCCTATTCCACATTTCCAAGTTCACAAGCAATGTAACCAAGAGAAAGTAAGATTGTAAACATGGTCTGGAGGTGTTTACGGGACACTGCAGAAATATTTCCAGCACCTGGGTGTGACTGCAAAGTGCCAAATTGGAATCGCTACAACTGCCCCAAAGATGGAAGTATAATAGACATCTTTGGAAAGGTTTTATTTTTAAGATATCTACTCAGTCGTGTGAAAGGTGTCTCTCTGCCTGTCAGTGTCGGTGACAACTTCTAAAAAAACCCACCCATGTCTATTCTGATGATCTGCTGGCTTAGTGTTAATGACAAAGAAGTAGCTGATTCTTTTCAGTTTTAGTAAGATTTTTATGCCGCTTGCAACACAAGGCCATAAGTTCCGAAGATTAGAAGTGTTACAAGAGAGTATAACAAACTCTAAGAAGAAGGAGAAAAGATAAAGACAACAGATGTCTGACGGGACAGAGAAGAAGCAAACCACACCAGAGCACCTGCTCGGCTGGTTCAAGAACGCCACTGGTAGCTCCAGTGGCGAAGCGTCTATATTTAATCAAATAATCACTGCTTCCCTTCCTAATTTTGAAACATTGTCGCAGTCAAATTCACCCATTTGGCCTTGTGTAGCAAGCGGCGTAAAAATCTTACACTCATAATCACCAATGAACAGTATGTCTTACAAAAAACATTCAAAACGGTTTCATTGTCGCAGAAAATAGCCTGTTCACCCCTCTCGGGCCACTCCATAAGCAGTTGCAAGCTTTGATTAAAAGTAAGCTTACACTTACAGTGAGACTGGAAGAGTCTACCGAAAGAGTTGGAGGGAACATGTCGCACAACACTCAGCGTCAAAGCTGTTTCATTACCACATATACCCTGTTCACCCCTTTTGAGCCACAGTTGTAGGCAGTCACAAGCACTGATTATGTAAGCTAACTATTTATTACACTGACTGAGTTTACCTCACATATGTGAAGGGAACTAACTCTTAATAATATCTTGACTGCTGCAAGTGCTTGTTTTTTTTCCTCGACTTTTTACTGTTCTATAATCAGATCGTGACCTCAATTATAACACTAACTCCTGGCCGCGAAACGCTAGACAAAAACAGCCAAATGTGAAATAAAAAATTAATAATTGTCATGTTCTACCAAAGAGTTTAGACTCACTGGTATTACATGTAGACATCTCTGCTTCTTTGCTTTGTGTTCGTGTATTCACATCTAAAGATAAACTTAATGTTTGTTGAAATAAATTTATATTTAATGAGATTGAGATACTTTCCCGATTATTTTAGCGGTTGAACATGCATACAATTACAACATGAGTTTAGGATTTGTTTTCATTCAGAACTCAAGTGTTGCCGCCTTGAGTAAGATTCTTGTGTGATATCTCCAGGCCCTATTATCTGGTCCCATCTCACTTTGATTACCCTGTCAAACAAGTCAGCCTTCGCTCCTAGGTCTCTTCATTCCCTCTGGTCTGTTGTGAGTGCACACGACCTTTGTAACACCACTGCCACTGTAAATTAAATGACTAAGACAAAAAGTTCCTCATGCAGGATGACTAAAAGATTGTCATTTTCAGTAAGTACATCCAAACGGAAAAAATGAACATATACACACACATAGATTAAGTCACAAAACAAAGGGATCATCAATTTCAAATCATCTTTACCATTTTCTTAAGCCCTGTTTCAGGTACAATAACAAATGTATATATAATATATATATATCACCAAAAAAAAAGTAATTCGTAGCATAGCCCACATAACAACGCACTCATGAAGTTCAATAATATTATAAATAAATACAACAGACATGGTATGATACAGGCCAATGTAATGTATGGTACTGTGAACGTTAACCTGAACACGTACTTTTTTTCTAATTTATATATATGAATATGAGTCTACATAACACCGTTGCTGTCGTCACAGGCAATACACTTAAGTCCAAATTTTGAGAACGTTCAATTTTCACACCCTCCTAAATCTTTACCAAAGATTCAAAGATGCATCTGACCTTTCTTAAACATCAAAATGCAGTTTGATGCTATGGTCAACCCTAACAATTCTCTTGCTTTTCCCAATTCCTGATAGGAACAACACAACAATCTAGTTTCTTGTCTCTGGTGTAAAATGTACCCAAATGAACTTAAGTGGATTGCTTGAGACACCGGCGATATTATCCCTGTTATAAAAAATTGTCATTTGTCAAAATACAAGGTTTTTCAGGAGAAGGAAACAAAACCTTTGGGTCTTATCTAATACTAAAAAAATGTTTTTGTCTACATCCTTTACTTTTTTAAAAGAAGAAGACTAAGACCAATGAATCAAACTCTACATTGATTTTCCTTTTCCTAAAGTTCTGAAATACTACCATGTTGAATGACAGTGACAATATGCTTTCTCTCACTCACTCTCCCCATCCTTATGCAGTCAGGCACGGACAACCCAAATGCGTCCAGGATTGATAAAAATGAATTTGACCTATCCAAAATTGAGGTAAACCGATAAAATGAAAAATTAGAAAGATTGAAAGAAAAATCAAGGGAAGAAACTTGCTGTACAATGGTCGGAAAAAAATTATATTCCTTACTATCCGGCTTATGGTTCCCGGTACGGGTGACTAGCCTGGATCTTGTGCAATTAGCACATAGGGACATAGTTTAATGAAGACTTATTTACTATAGCAGATTCACCGCACACAGCTTTTTCAGTGATGCTGTGTCTCTTTTTGAGCCTATCTAACCATCTACAGTGGAACTCGGATTTAAAGAGCTCGGATTCAACGAGATGAGACAGATTCCCCGTTTTTTTTCTTCTTTAAAATCAAGAAAAATAACCCGAATTCAACGAGCACTTAAATCAGCAAGCTGGGATTCAACGAGGTCCCTTCCAGGGTGAACAGCCCCTGCAGACGTGGCTTCACTCATTTTTCTCCCAGAACGAACTTTATCTATTCCCAGAAACCATCCATTGCACCTGCATCGTGAACCTTTATTCACTTAGCCGATTGCATGCGACCAATCAGCGGCCTTTTTTCATACAAACACATGTGTTGTTGGCACGTGCACGTGTCTACTCTGGCGTGTGTCTGGGTCGGATGGGCGACCTGCACACGTGTGACTTGTTTTTGCATGTCGGGGATGGGGGGGGGGAGGCACTAGCGGTCCGGGCGTTGAACGTCGCATATACAAAAGCGCCACAGTCTTTTTTTCCCCTCGGCAACTGATCATTATTACAATGCTAACCTAGTCTTGAAGTCTTGACGTAAATCTACATAATGAATTGTGCGCTGGTCTATGGAATCAAAAGTTGCCGTATGCTAGGCTCTACACAGCAACACAACTTTTTGGTAAACAATCGAGATGACACAGGCGTGTGTATTTGAACGAATCGGTCTTTTTTTTTTTTTAGTAGAGCTCATAATAATGCAGGCATTTCAGGCATTACTTGTGACTTCTCTCACACATTACTTGCTCAGTGCCTGTAATTATCTACAAAAAACATTGTGTTTGCTTTAACGAACACTCTGATTCAACGAGACTTTAGGTCAAGCCCGACGACCTCGTTGAATCCGAGTTCCACTGTAATGTTTTATTATGATGTCATGGAAAAACTCTTTTACTATGATGTCATGGCAAACTTCCTTACTAATTTCTGCTGCTTTTTACACAAGGATGGGACTAGATTAGAGATGGGAAGAGACATGGCACAAGATCAGGTTCATATTTTTTGCACACGTAATGTAATACTACACATGATGAAGTCAGTGAAGATTTGGAGAAGCTGATACAGATAGGCCTAGAAAAAATGCTATCGATATTTTCCACGCCACCAGGATTCAAGAACTGGTCAACACAGTAACCGTGACATGCCTGAGTATTTTGAAGTTGAAGCCATATGGAAGGAAGTGGCTGTGTTGTGAACAGTAAGGTTTGAGCTCAATAACTAACACTGCACACCAGTCAATTTTTTAAATATTTTTTTTTTAAATTTGACACAAGGAAGGAGTAAATTCTTAGTGTGCACTGAAGCCGCCATTAATCAACCCGAACCCCGCCCTATCCGTTCCTGCCAGTGGGCACCTGGTATTAGGGCTAAAATAAAATTGCTCTTACATTAGATTTAGATCACATTCATGACAACATAACCAATACTGTTCAGAGCACACCCGCACCACCAACCTCTCTGGTGTCATCACTTCCCTTTCCATATCTTGAGGAATGGCATTATATTGTATATTGTAAGAATTCTCAGTGATTTCGAGCTTTGACTGATCATGTTATCTGTGCCCAACTGTTTTTTTATTTTGATCTCATTTTGCGACACTGCATTACAAATGTATAAGAAGAGTCACAAAAACAGGTAAATATGTAAAAAAATTTTGAGGTTTTCCCACCCAAACTCCCAATTGCATGTATGAATGTATGGCGTCATGTTGAAATCAAGCAAGAGAAATGAACAAGCTTTAAGATGATATAAATAACCCCACATGCCCACAAGCCTGACTCCACAACGTGGTGACACACATAATTGTAACACTAACAGGCACAACCTACATTAACAAATAATTTACTGTCATTATTTATTATGCTTTACATTGGCTTCTAAAGCTGCTTTCTGGGCCGGGCCGCCCCAGTACTGTGCAAAAACCTCTCTCTCATTTCTCAAAGACGTGTCCAGATCTCGGTTCAGGTCGGAGTATACCACAGAGGACTTGGTGGCCTGAATCAAATCAGAGTCGTGCCGGCAATAATTAGACACCAGCCACTTCTTGCACTCGGTGAACTCATCTTCCTGCGACAGGCCGTACATCATCACACTATCCACGAGACCCTCGGATTTCGCTTCCTCCGCAGACAAGACTTTTGCCGAGCACAACAGACCCAAGGCTTTTTGCCGACCCAGGAGGTGAACCAATCGCGTGGTGGCGCCCCAACCCGTCGTTAAGCCCATCTTGATCTGAACAAAGCCCACTTTGGCTGTTGGGGACATGACGCGGAAATCACAAGCTGTCGATAGCTCCGCCCCTCCCCCAAGAGTGTGCCCTGTAGAGAACAAAAAATATTTCATATATTTGTGCGGCATAGTGGTGAATTTAGGAGCTGGTCATAATAACAAAAATTTGTCTTAACGCACGGCGCAGCGGCCGTGGAATTTTAGTTGCAGCAGTGCCATATCACGTCGGGATCATGGGAACGTACAGTTTTAGGTGAATCCTTGTATTTATGGTAATTATCATTTAACACTTTGCCGTCACATCTCGCAGATCGGTGATGTTTACCACCCAGTTTCTTTGGATTTTCCCCAAAATGCCTTTGCATTTGATGGCAAGGGTTTTTACTATACGAGCCTTGTGATGGCAAAGTGTTAATGCACCCAAAGCACGCATTTCTGCTCTTGAGACCCCAAAAAAAGGACATTGTAACTTGTCTGGCTATTTCGTCAGACGCGCTGTAGTCGGCAATGCTAAATTGTAAAAAAATTTTTGACAAGTGTGAATGAAAAAATATCAATTTTAAAAAAACAGCACGAGAAAAACTGTCGAGCTTTTGGAACATGAACGACATAATATTGGTGCATATACTCAGAAAAGATGGTATCTGCGTATATAATAATAGGAAGCTGTAATTTTGTTACTTTATCCATCTGGCGCACAATTCGCTATGAAGTAATTCCTCCAAATACAACTTTATGTGTCTAATATAATCATGAATATTCACATATTTTCTCTAAAGTTTGTCAAAATTACCCTGAAGTCTCTCTATCATGAAAAAGTACAAACTGATTTTAGTACCAGAATTCATCTACAATGTAATACACGAACAGTATCTGTTACACTCCATAAATTCCTTATTTTTCTAACAAAGCTAAGTCTAGGTTTTGTAAATTGACTGAAAAATAGGGATCACTTCTTGTACTTGTGTTATAAGAAATTTTTCAAACTATCCAACTTTTCTTTGTTACAGAAAAACATCCTTTGACATCTGTTCTATCAGGTCACAATGAAGAAACTTGAAAAAACTCCCAAAATGACCTAAAATGATGTTTGAAAAGTGCAAATTGCTCTAAAAATCCTTTTAAAAATCCGTTTTTTCTGTTTTTCTCAAAATCTACTTTTTGACAAATGTGATCTCCTGGGTGCAAGGAGTTTTCAAAAACTACTGAAGCTAGAAGCTTGAAATTTGGCGTACCGGTGCTTTAAGATCTATTCTGGGGATCTATGTAGGGGAATTGGGAGACATTGATAACTTGTGGAAATATTCAAATTTTTTGTAATATGTACCCCAAAATTTCGTCAACTGACTCTAGGGGGTCCAATGACTTTGGGCTCACTTTTTTAGTTTTTAAGACAGGTCAAAATCCTACCATGGATCCCCAGTTCATATAGGTTTGTACTTGTGTGCTAAATTTAAGGCTGATAATTCAATATTTACTATGAAATTCTTCTGCACTAAGAAACAGGTTTTAAAATCCAAGATGGCCGCCACAAAGACCCATTTTTCGGAAAAATTCAACAAATTCACCCCTAGTACATCCCATTTACATATGAACTTCTTGCACAATTACATGAAAGTGAATAAAAGTCATTCATTTAGAAATTTTTTCCGGGAGTGTACGTCTCCCCTTAAATATCAACTAAATAAGATGGCTGAGGTTGCATCCCTTTCCTCCGCCTTGGCACAGGTTCACGTAAAGGCACACTAAGGGCCCTCCCGAGCACCGTGCGCTTAGACAGAGACTGATGCATACAGTCGAAACAGCTCCACACAAAGTGCTTGTTGGCCATTACTGGTGGGAGTTCATGAAGTAAGAAAATGACGCACAGTAGAGTAGAGCACGGATGTTGTGGGACATTTGGTTTGAGAAGAAAAATCCCGCCGCAGGCAAGTACCCACTGCAGGAATGCAAAGGGGAAATTTCCTTTAAAAATTTCTAAAATCCCACATAATTACCTCCCTTCCATTATATCAATAAAATTTGCCCTTTAGATTAGTCTTCTTTTTCTTGTCAACTTCGTTGATTATCTCAGCCTTTTTAATTCGAGTGAGAAGCATTTCCTTTTGTCTTTGTCGGAAGCCATCTTTTCTTCGGTCTCGCTGCTAGTGCCGTCTATCATACAGGTAGACCTTCTGTAGAACTAGTGAAGTGGATGCGTGCGTAAGCCTATGGCTATGAGCATCAACAATCACAATTCAAGGAATCAGGAATCACCACACACTACACACTCTCCTCTTTTACTTTTTGGCCTAGCTTAGGCCTAGGACTATGGCCTATACGCTCTCATACTAAGCATCTAAGCTACTCATCACTGGACTGGCAAATCACAACGTTGCACAGCTGATTGCCTGTTTGGAGCCCGCCTACAGACCCCCAACCCCTTTCCTTTCCCCCAAGCTAGAGCTCACTCGATCTCTCCCGCTGTATCCGAGTTCAGGCCTTTCCTTGCCCAACTAAACCCGAGCACAGGTTATTGAGTTTACTTTTTTTTAAAAGGGGATTCCAGTAAGGTCCCATTGTAGGGATGACTCCGCTGCAGAGGGTGCTGCTGTATTCATGTTCTACTGTATCTTAAATAAATCTCTTTGCTCATTCTAATTTGCGTTGTCCAAATGCTATCTATTATTATTACCTTGAAGGAGAGCAACACTGATGAGCGGAAGGTTCAGGAGTCTGGTCAGTGTGTGGTGCTGGTACGTGGCCATCTCCGCCCCGTAATGCAAGGCCTTGCGCACAAACGTCAGATCACCTCCCGAGCAAAAGTTCCCTCCAATCCCCATGAGGATCAAACCTTTGCCCTTCTTCCACTGCTCCAGCTGAGTTATCCTGTCTGACATATCCACCATCATTTTCCCTGAAAGTTCACGCAGAAAAGAGGAACGGAAATGAACAAAGGTCAAACCTGCTCTAACAGCCACCTGTATACTAGACAATCATCTATACAAACAGCCATTTCCCATTTCCACCTTACAGTTTCTGTTTACATTATACACTGTGTAAGACAGCCACTTTTCTCCTTGACAATAGGTGGCCATCTAAGACAATTTTGAGAGCTGTACTGGTACTTTTCTATTATAAGTTATTAAGATTATAAGGTTAGTGTTTGTTGAAATAATTTCAAGGCCAGGTCTACATTAAGAAAGTCATTCCTGAGCATGATTCATTCTTTTGAAAATGTATTTGTTTTCCTTGAGGGTCCAAATTCTTAATCTCTACAGGGAAGCTGATGGATGCACATTATTCATTTTTACTATGGAGGACCAATGAAAAACAGTCAAAATTGTCTAAGACAACTCATCGTCAAGGAGAAAAGTAGCTGTCTTAGAACAGTGGATGTCTTAAAATAAATTGTGTAAGATTGAAGGAAACAATTCCTTTTTTAAAGGTTTTTGTGCAAATCTGATCAAGATTCTTCAACAGGTACTAAAATATAAAATGGGATGGCTTTGATTTTATCAAAGTACTTCGAAATTCTGCACAAAGTACTGACCTGTCATTGAGTTCAGTCTCCTCGGGTTGTTCAATGTCATGACTGCAATGCCCGTTTGTTCGTCCATCTCTAGATCGACAGAGCCGCCCTCGAACTTGCCCAACTCTTTCCTAATGGGCAGCAACTCCATCTGAGGCGCAGAGCTAAAGGCTCGAAGGAACATCTTCAGAGGAGGCAGCTTTTGAGCTGAGAAATTTGTGTAAGGGAAGAAATAATAAATCAAAACAATTGTTTCTGCACACAGTTGAGCTACACTGTACATGTTTTACACAAACATTTAATGAAATATTTTATAAGGTCAAACCTCTTACAAACTTACTCAAAATAGAGACAAGAAAAGGCACCATTCTTATGTAAAAATTAATTTTGACTCTTCAACAGATTCCACACAATGATTCAGTCGAGAAACATTCTGGAAGCAAAGATGGAAATCAATACATGTAGAAGAAGGGGAGGGGACCTAGCAGAAGAAGATGGGAACGGGACATAAAAACCTGGTGGGTACCAAAACAACTGAAGCAGCTAGAATGACAACAGTCGGGGTGATGCATTGCAGAACAGTACAAGATGCAATGTCTAACTACTGGAGAAGGTAACTCTGAGAAGAAGAAAAAGATTCCAAACAGACTGTAGTCTCATGTCAGATAAACACTACAGAAAGCTAGTTAAGATTAACTGCAATAAAACTGTTTTCTTATTTAAATATGCAAATTATTTCTAAACTTATAAAAATTCCCTGACAATACCGGAAATAAGAAGGTGGGAACCTGACAAGATGAATTTCAAGTTCACATCATCAGTGTCTTTCCTATGATCTCAAAGCGCAAAAAGTACCACAGATTCACTTTAGAAAACTGCACATCAAAAATTCAAAATTTTGGGCTTACTACATTTTAACAACTGGCCGTCATATGTTTTCTTTCCCCAGCAACTTACCCTCTCTGATGAACTTGGATGTGATGGTTGCCATGGTGAGAAAGAACCGCTTGAAGGCGTTCATGATTTTTATTTCTGTTGAGCAACAAGAGATGCAAAGAAAATTAAGATGAAATTTTATAAGTAATCAGGATATAAAATAAACAAAATCCTATCCTATGTTGTTATTTTTTTCACGGAAGAAAGTTGAGAATGTAACCAAAAGGTCCCACTTTCTATACACAAAAAAATATGACAAAGACACAGAAAACAGATTTGCTATCTAAAGCTGTGCAGTATCCTTCAAGTAAAAATATTAATTCTCAGACAGATATAAGTCATTAACTGATTCAGTTAATTTTGACTTCAGATACAAATCATTTGTGAACACTAGACGGAAAAATTGGGTGAAGAAAGGGAGGAATAGATAAGAGCCACTCTAAGCTGCTCTGCATCACAGCAGACAGTCAGCCACGGTGAGCGGGCTGAATCAGTTAAAGAAACTAAAAAGACAACTGAAAACTAAAAAAGTTTGTTCTTAGACAAAAGACATGTCTTAGTTCGGCAATTTCTTCTGTTCAGCCTGATGTAGGCCTACCTTGTGGACAGAACCGCGGGATTCAGTCACATCACATCATACTATACAATAAGGGAAAATACTGATCCGCCTCAGCATGAAGAGCATAAAAACAAGCAGAAGTAAATCTACCGCTAGGTAAGTGCAACACAGAATAAGAGCTGACCCACAAATAAAATATCGTTGCCATCATGAGAAGATTAGATTACTGCAAAATTTTTATTGTGCTTTTTTTATTCCAAAACATTTTTTTAAAAAGACGTTTCATATACTTGTTAAAAATTTACATTCAAATAAACAACCAAATGTAGACTTTTTTGTATACAAATCGGATAACTCTGAGCTGTCCTTTTAATAAATCAGTTTTTTTCCTTCTTCTCTCCTGAAAAATTTACCCGATGTCACTTACTAATTTATATATATATTCCAATATGTATTATCTCTTCTTATCCGATAACAATATTAACACTAACAAAAACAAACATATTATTCTTACCCAACTTCCACAGTCCCTATTTCAAAGGCTTTACCTACAAAACTATCACTTTCAGTTAACAAAATGCACTGCAGTTTGGTGCAGTGTTCACGTCGTCCACATCAAATAATCAGTTTTAATTAACTATAAAGCCAAGCGCAGTGTTGATGGGGTTGAAATGTCTGGACACACAACATGAAAAGCCAGCAATGTTACCACGCTTTGCAAGGAGGAATAAAAACTAAACTTGTCAGTTAACAATGAGAAACATACCACACCAGGAAAATGCAAGCGTCAGCATTTAAAATTATAAAATTATTCATCCAATACATAGTTTACAGAAACTGACATATCAAATATCGCTTAATGCAGGACTGAAGCTAGCCCAAGTCAATCAAGCAGCCATAAAGTGAAACAGAAGAGTCAATATAATATTAATTACATTCGTCATATTGATATTAGTTCAGCAGCAAGTTCATGATCCACTACAATAGCAAGTCATTTGAAGTTGAAGAGGTAAATGATGCCATAAGAAATGAGGCAAAAATGAAGAGAAAGGCAATAATTTGTAGAACTTTACGTTTTTCACTAATAATGAGCTGCGAGTACTGCTGCTTTCTCGTCGTGGTTATGTAATTCATGCGGTGAATTTATACTTTCACTCTTCCTGCACACAGATGCACAACTTTTGGAAGCCAAATTGGCATTTTTTGGGCTGCAGAACACACATATTGCTAAAACTGTGGGCAAATCAATTGTTGGCATGAAAAAGTCAAATATAATTATTATTCAAATTACAAAATAAGTATAGTGGGGGGGGGGGGGGGGGGAATGTTGTGAATTAAACTCCCACAAAAAAGTCAAGGAACAGAAATTCAAAGAAAGATAACTGAAGAACAGTTTAACCGAATTTATTCATTTTTTTCTAAAAAGATGCTTTCGACTCTAGATTAAAGGTGTACAATTTAAGATTTCAACAACAACGAGAAGTTCATGTAAAATGAGTTTTTAGTCACACTGGTTGGATTTCTAAAGTCTGAACAGCCAAAGTTCTTCATGAACATTGTCAATAGTTGGTGTGGCCACACCATTTGAACAAATACTCTGCACAGCCTCGACGCATGGACAAGACATGCCTTCGGGGAACTTGTAGCAGAAGGTTCTGCCCCTCCTGGACGAGGCAGCCCAAGAGAACTTTGTTAAAGGCTTTATGCAGGAGGGTGGGTGTCCCTTATCCACCGGTCAATGTGATCCCAAATGTTCTCTATTGGGTTCAGATCCGGACTGCAAGCTGGTCATTCAATGCGGGTTACAGCTTGATGCTGCAGGAAGTTCCCCACGATGCCTGCGTGATGTGGTGTGGCGTTGTCATCCTGCAGTACAGCCTCAGGAGAGGAACAGTAAGGGGACGCAGGATTTCCTCCCTGTACCTTGCCGCGGTCAAATTACCCTGTATATGCCTGGTACAGGGGGTCCTGTGATGAGCTGAAAAGCATCCCCACACCAGAACTGACCCTCCACCATAGGGAGCCACCTGCTGGATGCACTCAGGGTGGAACTACTGGAACAGCTCTCCTCGGCGCCTCCAGACGTGGTCTCGCCTGTCTGGGTGCAGCAGGTGGAATCTGGGTTCGTTCGAGAAGACTACCTAGTTCCACCGACATTGTGTCCACTGTGAATGGCGAGCAGACCACGCCCGGCGAGCTGCTTTGTGGGGCGGCGTGTGCCTTGAGCACCTGGCAGGGACACAAGAAGCGAACCTGGCTCTATGGAATGGATACAGTTTCTTACTGTCTCGTCGCTCTCGTGGACATTGGCTGTCACATGTAGTTGGCCCCTGATGCCGTTTGCAGTGGTGGTTCGTGACGTCACGACTTGTCTGACGATGACTCTGTCAATGATATCGTTGGTAAAAAAAACAGGGCGCCCTGGTCGAGGCCTGTCCTGGACCCTTCCGGTTCCGGTCGCTCACCATCATTCTTGCCGCCTCTATACATGATCAATGTCAGTTGTGATCGCGCAAACTGGCAGCCTTCTTGCGCTCATACTATGAATATTTGGAATCATTTTCTTTAGTCAGAACACAACGTTTTATGTTACTGTAGCATGTTGTGTACAAGTTGGCCACCATATGTCACAAATGTTTGAATGATAATGCACCATCATATTTATCAAATCTGTTAAGAATTCATTCAAACTCGCAGTTTAAGGTCATCAGCTGACAAAAAGAAATTTATTTTACCATCTATGAAACTTAAAACAATGGGTGAAAGGGCATTTGAATACCAAGGCCCCAAGATCTGGAAAGCTTTACCAAGTACGTTGAGAGAAATCAAATCTTTTGATTCATTCAAATGTCAGCTGAAGTCGTTTCTGTTTTTAGATTAATAAGATGAATATTTGGAATAATTTTCTTTAGTCAGAACACAACGTTTCATGTTACTGTTGTATGTTGTACTGTATTGTAAAGCGCTCAGAGCCTGTGTACTTTATTCGGGGTTGAGCACTATATAAATGTCATTTATTTTATTATTATTATTGTACTGTATTGTAAAGCGCTCAGAGCCTGTGTACTTTATTCGGGGTTGAGCACTATATAAATGTCATTTATTTTATTATTATTATTGTACTGTATTGTAAAGCGCTCACAGCCTGTGTACTTTATTCGGGGTTGAGCGCTATATAAATGTCATTTATCATTTATTACTACAAGAGTGTTCTTTATAGACGTTTTCTGCTACCCAAACTAAGGCTAAGCTGAAACCATATATTTAAAAATTAGAATTTACAAATTGCTGTGTAGTAATAAACTCACCCAATGAACATACGATAACAAACTGACTGCTGTAACAAACTAATTTTCTAGACCAACAAGTCTTTTTCCCTATTATTTACGACTGAAGGAGCGAACCAGCCCATCTCTATGAGTTGACCGAACCTAGAGTATTTCAACTGCCACGCCAGTCTGCCTACACAGACATTGACACTAGTGTGCAAACATCGGCACTGGTGCTTTCCAATGCTGAGGAACAAGAGAAATAAGCTTCTATACTCCTCAAGCAAACAGTGAAGACTGTGAGCAGATAACTGTGACAGTGGGCATCGCAGTGAGGCAAAACAAAATGTGGAGAAATTGAAGAAACTATTTCGTTGTCAATGACAATGGGGAGGAGCAATTTTTGGGGAAGAAATAAGTTACTGTACATGTACCATTTATACTATTTAGTAGAACTTGCCATGACGGCCACCTGTACAAACGGCCACTTTCTATTTCTTCCCTTTCGTTTTTTCGATATATATATATAATTCAACAGTGTAAAACAGCCACCTGTTCAACGTGACTGCGGCCGCCATATTTTAACACACAACCCCATCACACCAAATCAATAACACCTACGGCCACCTTAGTCAACTTAGTGACTCCATTACTTTTGTCATAAATCATGCACTGGCCCCTGGCGTTGTGGGTGAGCCATCATAATCCTTCAACAGATCATGTTGCATTGGCCCCTCCCACTGCTGACCATAGAGGTAACGAAAAATTTTCTGCTGCTGGTGAGGTTATCGTGTGATCCCTCATGACCCATAAGCCCCGCCCAGAACTCATATATGCACAAATTGTAAGTGAGATGAGTGGTCACTGTTTACCCACTCTATAACAAAACAAAGTAACAAAGGATGTCAACAAAAAGTTGTTCAGCGAGTGGTGGTGACCAATGTGTTTGTTTACCATGGCACTTCACTGGGGTCTTCCTCGTCAGAAACATTCCGTTTAAAATGTCACCCTTGCAGCCTTGCACACAATCAGCAATAAAATTTTAAAAAGCAAACAAAAAACAACAACAACAACAATCATACAATGCGGCTATCTTCGGTTGGGACCTCAGAAGGGAATGATTTGTTTTTTTCATTTGGATCAGTCCTGCCTAAGACGGCCACCTGTCTTATACGGCCACTTTTCTCCTCGACAATGGGTGGCCGTCTTACACAGAGGTTCGACTATTTCTATTACTATGACTATGACCGAAAAGGACAAGAACCGATGTATATGTAGATCTATATGTGAGAAAAAGTATGTTTGTGAGTGTGTGTTGACTGAAAAGAGCTTCTGATGATACAAAGAACTATTTTTACTGGCCGAGTGTTTCATTGTTGATTTGATCATTCAATTTTTTCATCTAGATTCTAAATCATATAGATTTTCTTCTATATCTAAAATCTAGGCTAGATCTCTCTGCTCAAATTTTAATTATTTTTTTAAAATTGACATAAAAAAGGCTTGACAAGATCGATGATGAAAACGTTTTTAAAAAAGCAAAGGCCACCTCTATTCTCACCCCGGGTGAGAATAGTGCAGGCGAGTCTTTTGGCTATTCTCACCCGGTGCGCGTTCACCGTTATAGCCTAGATCTAGGCCAACCAATTTTGCTTTTACCCTAAACCACAGAATTCTACACTGTGTGTGATAACAGAAAAATTGTAGAATTCTGTGCCGTGAACAAACGTTACATTACTACTGTTAGCCTACTAAAAGCGTACAATTTTGTCTGTGGGCAGTGGAGAAAGAGAGAAAGAGAGAGAGAGAGGAGTAGTGCGAGAACTTCCGGGCAAAACAAAATGGCGACCCGCGTAGTTCGGCTCCATTCGAAAAGTTAAATAGCCGTAGCATCCTTGTAGACAACCAAATTAATTTACTTTTATTGTGTTTTAACATCATTTTTTAACTTTGTTTTGGTCAATTTGATCGTCCACACCGATAGACAGTATTCAGAAAGAGACACAGAGAGAGAGAAGAGGGAAGGAGTAGATCTTGCGAGAACTTCCGGGCGACCCCCGTAGTTCGGCTCGATTCGAAAAGTGAAATAGCCATAGCATCTTTGTAGTCGATCAAATTAGCTTACTTTTGTGTTATAACGTAATCTTTTCTTTGCCTTTATCCATCTGATCATCCACATTGATAGAAAGTATTCCAAAATTAGGAAAAACAGGTCTTGTTTCACACAGGGTGAGAATAGCCTACGGTGGCAAGTCTCACCCGGGGTGAGAGGTCGATCTTATTTCTATTCTCACCCCGGGTGAGAATAGCCACTTCCAAAAGCAAACAACAATAAATAATAACAGAAAAATATGAATATATATCTTTACCAAAACAGACATCATCAAAGATCTATGAAAGATCAATGAAGCAAAGCGAGGATGGAAAAATTATCAGCAAGCCACGAGTGACCTTCTGACCGGGCAATTGAGTACGTCGAAAAAAACTGTACAGTTGTGATCTGTGGTCGTTTGTTGTTCTTTTCAGCAGGTCGGGCGAAGATGCAACAGGATACGTCCGTTACAGCATGTCAGATTATAGATCTAGATCTAATCTTATCTAGATCTAATCTAGATCTATTAGAGTATTACAAAAGAAAAGATTCTTGCAACACCCTTCTGAGCGCAGAAAATTGTGTTTTGTCTGGTTTTTCTTTCTTTCAAGCATCTAAAATCTACGATCACTTTTGATTTTGGCTGGCATTGGACATTGATCTTTGCTCTCCTGGCCCCTGGCTGATCGGGTCGAAATGGATCAAAGAGATTTCGTGCAGGGTAGAGCAGTCTAAAAATGTCCCCAAAATATCTCTCTTCTCTTGGGTTATGAATTATTAATTACACACCATAAACAAACAAACACACGCAAACACACACACGCATCTAACAAACACACACACACACACATACCCCCCCTCCCCCCACACACACACACGATTGTACGGGGTCTGCACTCTTTAATCTACCACCGGGGCTTTTATTTTGTGTTGCATGTGCCGTAAAACGTTCACAACTACCCTGCCTCAGGCTACATTTGAGCGTTTCCGTAAAAGGTGGCACAGGCAACGCGAAGGTAATGACCAACTGGGAAAAAAGGCAGTAAAACTAAAAGGGCAATGATTCTTATTCTTATAATATTATTTGTTTTATTTGTCTTGTCAAAGTCTTTTTTCATCAAACTATTATTATTATTGTCAGATGTGACTCTAACAAATAAATAAATTTCTTTATAGGGGAAAAAATAATGTCTTTCTTTCTCTCTCTCTCTCTCTCTCTCTCTCTCTCTCTCTCTCTCTCTATATATATATATATATATATATATATATATATATATATATATATATATATATATATATATATATATATATTTATATATATATATATGTATATATCTCAGTGCCTGATATTTTCTCATTTTTGTTTTGTTGTTGTTGTTGTTGTGTGTGTGTGTGTCATTTTGTTGGTTGTTTTCTTTTTTGGGAAGGGGGTGGGGTCAGCATAATATCATCCTCGAGTTAGGTAGGTATGGGTAGGTGTGGCACTTTTCCTGGAATTGTCTATTTTGGGTCGGCATAATGTCGTGTTTAAATAAAGGCACTTTTACTTTCAACTTCTTGCTAAGAATTTCAGGTTTGGGGATTTGGTTTAGTTTTTCTTTCGGATCTGTCTTGGGGGTTTTGTTGTTTGTGTGTTTGTTTTTATTTGCTTGTTTGTTTGCTGGAGTTGGGGGGGACTGGCTTCGTTATACACACTTACCCACATGTATTTGATACTCATTTCTGAGGGGAGCAGGAGTAAATTGTGATTGGTGTTTTGTATGTATGGTGAAGTGTTTGCTGACTTTGGGAAAGAAAAGCAAACGAGAAAAAGAGAATTTCCCCGTCCATACTGGTATGTGTATCACACTGTCTGACTTCATTAGCTCTTCAACATCTCAAGGCAGAAGTCCAGGTGACATCATTTTCTCTTATCATTCATCTATCTATCGATCTATCTATCTATCTATCTATCTATCCATCCATCCATCAATCTATATATCTATCTACCTATCTATCTATCAATCGATCGATCTATCTATCTATATTTATATATATATATATATATATATATATATATATATATATATATCAATCGATCTATCTATCTATCTATATATATATATATATATATATATATATATATATATATATATATATATATATATATATATATATATATATATATATATATATATACCTGTTTATCTATAGGCCTGGCTCTCTAACAAAACATATGCCTGCGCCTGTCTGTCTACTGTAGCTGCCTGTCCCTCTGTCTGCTCTAAATGGCCGTTATTGTATGGATGTGCGTCTCTTTACCCAAACGAACAATTACGGAGCAACAGCCACGAAGAAACTACAGTGGATTGGTGTTTTGTCGTTTATCTTGCTTTGTCAGTGTCAGGAGAATATGTTGATAAGACTACATTCTCTAGTCGCATTCGTTCGGCTTTGTGACCGTCTCCTCCCAAACAAACTCCCCCAAACAAACTCCCCCCCCCCCCGCCCCCCCCCCAAAAAAAAAAAAAACCTTTAGAAGCCCCATTTAACACCTCGTTGGTTTGTTCGTCTGCTTTTCGTGTGTTTATCTTACGTTTTTCAGGGGCTTAACTCTTTAAGTGCGTAGGGGACACACAATTTGTGTTCCGACACGCTGGAATAATAGGCGCTCGTCAGTTTGTTGGCATATTAATAATATTACTATAAAGTTGTTGGTATCATCTTCAAGCTTGTTTGTAATTATTAAAAATTGTTTTGCATTTCATGAAAAAAAAACTATGTATCTTGAATAGAAGTCATTCCGTCTCGTTCATAAGATGGCCTAATTGCCTAAGTCATATTTTGGTTGGTGTGGAGTTTTTTGTTCTGAAATGAAGAGCAGAGCCAGCTTGGTAATAATAGTATAGTTCACCTGGACAAAAGAAAAATCCAAAAATAGAATCAATTGAGTGTAACAAATTCAAGCGGTTCACTGTCAATTGCTGGAAAGAGTTTTTTGTTCTGCTCATTTTCTCAAAATGGCTAATAATAACTTTAAGCATTTATCTTATGAGCTTGACGATTTAATTTCTTTAAACAAACAGACTCTCTTACGAGCCTATCTAAACACCCTGTTTGTTTATTTGTTCGTTCGTTCGTTAGCTTTTTCCGGGGTTAAAGACCCCCACATTGAGACGGGCGGACATACCCGAAGGTCACACTGGTGCAGGTGTTAAGTTTGCTCATCGCCTTGTCCCGCTTATCTGTCGCCCACCCGGTCATCAATCATGCAAGGACGGTAACATGGGCGGGCTGGTTTGAGCTCATCATAAGGGATTGAATTTGATATTAATCTTAGACCCTAAGGTCCCTGGTTGAGGGCTCTCGTGGTCTAGAGGTTAAGGTGTTGGTCTCTCATTCAATAGGTCGTGGGTTCGAATCCGGACAGCAAGAAAAACAACAGAATATGTTCTTCTCTAAACAAAAATTCTCCTCTCACCTCTTTTCCTGCTCTCCAACAATGTTCTGTCGTCTGCTTTTGTCTCCACTTTCTGCCCCCACCCCCTCACCTCCTTTGCCCCCTCCTCTGGGCTCCTGGCTCTTTCTGCAGCCTTTCTACTGCTACTCCTCGGCTCCTTCTTACTACTGTCTTTCAGCCACACCACTGATCTTATGGTAGGAAAGATCTACACATAGCCTTCTCGGAAAGGGCGAAAAATTCCAGAAGTCCTGTGTGCAAGCTGCGCACGTTAAAGATCCCTTGGTGGTCCAAAATTGATAAGAGTAGGCTTCGCTGCCACCCGGGCAAAATTCAAAATTTCCTACCAACTGAAAAACGTTGAATGTGTCCAGCGCACTCATATGACCTTATGCAAATGCAGTTGCGAGCGCCGTAAAACTTACCCCCCAAAAAGGTCCCTGGTTGAAACACACTGTTTTTACTACTTCAGATACTGTTATCATTTTATTTATTTTATTCATTATACATGTGCAGTCTGTATAAATGG